TATTAAACTGATTGTATGGTATCCATTCAAGCACTATATCATTATAGTTATTAATTTTTAATTGCCTTTTTTGAATGAAATCGTCAATTTTTTCATTTCCACTCGTCCAATCTGTAAAATTAGTTTCTAAATATTTAAGAATATTATTTCTTGTTAAAGAGTACATTTTGAGAAAACATTGTTTTTCAAAAACGTAAAATTTTTTTTTCAAATAAAAATCTTATTTATGCAACATACATGTAACAGGTAGCACAAAAAATTGCATAAATTAGCATTACGTAATGAGGATTTTTAGTAATATTTCGATGTCGATCATGTCACAAGAATTATTCGAAACAAAGGTTTTTTCTGGCTAAATTTTTAATATCTTTATACAAATTCTTTTTTAATATTAGATGTTAAGTACATATACAGTTAACATATAAAGTATGCTTATTTTAATATTATGACACTTTTAGATCTTGGGCACAATTAAATTAAATTTAGTGTAAGGAATTAAAAAAAATACAATTAAAATTTTATTTAAAACAATATTTTTGAATCTTTATCAACTTGGTTTACTATTTACCATGCACAATATATAGCTTATTAAAATTTTTACAAAAGTGAGCGTGAATTTGATATTTAAACATAAAAAAAAAGATCGGTCGAATGTTCAAAGCGACTAAAATTAAAAAAAAAATTTTTATTAATTTCTTATCAATACAACTATTAATATGAGGAAATTTAAGAGTCTCCCAGCCGTTCTCCTTTTTTAATAATAAAAAGGGTCTTGTACAATCTGTTCACGTTGTTATGAATAATGTTTATTATTTTCATATTATTTTATTATAAATCTGTACATCAATGATTAAATATTTTGAATTATGTAATTTTATGGTATCATTTCTCACATAAATGAAATTTTAACCATAAACTTTGGCTTAATTTTGTGTGATACGACATTCCTTAATTGATTTCTGCAAGGTAAGCGGGCGTTTTATTTATTGTAACGTAACCCATATTAGAAAACGAACTTTTGTTTCACAATTGGTTGCGTTACAATTCGGTTTCACAAAATGATACTCTCATAGCACGACGATTTTTTTAGCCAATTTTTTTTTTTTTAAAGAAATAGTTTTAACCAAAAAAAATAGTAGTAAATTCGTATCGACTTTGATGATTTTGATTGAATGACTTTTTGAAGAAAATTGTTTATATAAAAAAAAAGATAAACTTCTCCTAGATAATATATAGTTTATATTTTATTAACAATTTATTTAAAAAATTATAATAAAAATATGGAATAAAAACATGAGACAAAATAATAAAAAAAAAGTTATCTGTTTATTCGTGCAATTTTGAAAGAATTAGTTCCGAGAAATATGATATGTATGACAAACAAATGTAAAATTTTGTTGATCGAAGGTTTTTAAATTCTATAAGTATAATCCTAGGATTATTCTATTAGTTTCTCTTATTCGTTATTAAAAATGATGCTATTTACTTGACTTGTATACAAAAAATCTTCTGAATTGCGCTTCATATAATGGCTAAAACCAAATTGGTAATTCTACATTTTGTTATTATTCACAATTTTGGCATGTATTGTTGTCAAAGGCAAAGTTAATTACATAGATTTTATTTAAACTAGCTAGTTTTAGACTAACTATATCAGTTAAGTTTAAATGGTTTGGATCAAATTACATAACATCCCTAGACAAATTGCAGGGATGATATAATTATGCCACGCCAACTTTTCAAATAAATGTTATTTTGTTGGCAAAACCTTAAAAAATAAAAGTTTACTAAGGTCTATAAGGAGAGAAAGCTTTGAAATATTTGTGGCTTTGCGCAGATCATTTTTGCGGTACAATTTTTTTAATTGGTGATCGATATGTCATGTGACATGACCGATGACTGATAATAATTTATATGGTGATATTTATCAATGATTTATATACGCATCCCAACATATCGTTATATCGGGTTTGAGTGTATAAAAGTATGTTTGTTATTTAGAAAAAATAACTTTGATTATAAAATTTCTTGCCATATTTAAAAATTTTATAGTAATTTTTGCATTAACAGTATCTGATAATCGTTTATATATTAAAATAGTATTAGAAATTCTTTCACAAATTTAATATATTAATATTTTTATAATCATTTAAGCTTATTAAATTTGTCAAACAAAATTATTGTATTTTTAATTAATAACAAGAATGCTTTCATATGTTAAAATTCTGTGTCAAATTAAATCTAAAGATTACTTAACGTATTATGTGAATTGAAACCTAAAACCTTATCTAGTCATAAAAATTTTTTAAATTTTACTATTCGTTAATATTTAAAGTTCCCTGCCGTGTTTAATGTTTACTTGTTTTAAATTTTACATTTAATTCACAACAAAAATGATTCGAATATCTGTAATAGATCCGTTACTCATCCGGATATCGGATATCCGCCGAATACATCCGGATGTATGACAGAAAATCAGTCTTGTAGTCTGTATATTCGAATATTTGGAGTAAATGAATCTCACCCATAGTATAATAAGTCTGTATGGAATAATGCTTTAATGTAAAGTTTCAACTTGTAGGTAGAAGGCGCAGTTGTCTTGGGAAGTTTGTACTCTTGTTTTTGGGAGTAGAGTTTATTTTTTAATGAGATAATACTTTTTATGGTTCTTTAGGTGGTAAAATGGTCAATATGAAAATAGCGTTAGAAATCTTTTTTGCCATCGATAAGATCATATATAGATTGATTCGCAGCACTCCTAAGTCATTCAAAAAGATAGAAGGTTGCTAAATACTCTTCGGACAGAGTATTGAAAATGATAGAAGAGCAAGTCCCGGAAGACTAATATAAACTTGAAAACATATTGCAACACCGCAACAGGGACCATTCTAATAGAGATAATTTAAATGTTTGTACTTTTTTTGGAAGAAGAAATTATTTTTTATAAAATAATGAAATAATGGACATTTATCAATTGCTATTTATGGCTGAAATTAATACTTAAAAATACAACGTTGAGCACTTGAGCATGTAATTCGAAACATTTAAGTTCTTCAATGGAAAAAAAATCGATTTTAATTTTTTGCATTTCAGTATTGTTCGTTCCCACTTTTCATTTCTATCCATAGATTACTATATCATAGGCTTCATGGCTTTTAATTTAACAATTTAATCAGATTTCACAAAAACAAAAATGGAGAATATGATATTTATATAAATTATATAAATTGTATTTATTATATTATGATATTAATGTTTAATATGTTTTATCAAAAAAACAACAATAATAATAATAATGTTCATCAAAGAAATTAATTTAACGTTAAAAATATATAAAAATAAAATATTATTTTACGTTAAAAACTATTTAAACAATTTAAACAATTTAAAAATTGTTCACCAAAAAAATATTTTCTATTGTTTAGGCGGATGAATTGCAAGTATCATTTTGGAGTTACGCTTTAAAAAAAATTAATAATTCAGGATTCATGTTTACTCTTTTTGGTCACATAATTATCTGTACCAAATAACAATTTTATCCAATTTGCATATAGCCCATTTATTACCATCACGAGTTTCTGAATCAAAGAGTTCCCAAATTCAACTAGATTTTGATCTTCCAATTGTCCTCCCTCTGTTTTCTGTCATGTTAAAAGTTTTTTAGTTGTTCTTGTAGATTATCCAATCCGTGATTAAAATGAAAATAACAAAAATTCTCCCGTTGATTATAAAATATAATCTTATCTTTTGATAGCGCATCAGTTTATCAGTCAGATTTGATTATCAGCATGTGATTAATATGCTTAAATTTTTATTTAAAATTAAAGTTTCGTATACACTTATTCAATTGCTTAAGCAAAAAAAAAAACTTTATTGATCTGAAGTTAAAGCTGAAGAACCATGCATAAAAAAAGAAGTGATTGTTTATTTTATTGTTAATACCATCCTTAAAGAAAGAAATAAATAAAAGAACTAACAGTTTAGAACATCTGCCTCAAGATCCATTTAAGCAAGCCAAAGAACTTGTTTCTAAAAAAAATTTAAAAGAGTAGTTAATACCGTTCATCAAAGAGAGAAACAACTAAAAAGTGAATAATTCATAAGAACTTTACATTTATTGACTTTAAAAGCGTCATAAAAAAAAACATGTAAAAAAAAAAAAATGTTTACAAAAAAATACAGTTAAAGCTTTATGATTTATATGATTTACATTCAACTTTTAGGTCATCCTAATTAGTTAAAGTTATTGCGTCTTCTTCACATTATATTTGATATGTTTATTTAACAAAATAAAACTTGCTTATTTATTACTTCCATTAAAAATTTAATAGTTTTTATTAATAAAATTGCAGTAATTTATAAGCCCTATTACTCTGGTAAAATATAAATAATATATTTTAAGAATTTTGAAACAGTAAATATAAGTCAATATCAACTGATAAATATATTTTAACTAAATATAAAGTATATTCATTCCTAATGATAAAAATAAATAATAAAAAGCAGCAACTTATAATTAACCAAATAATATACATTCAGCATCATTTCCCTTCCATGATATTTTTACTGTTTTGTTCTTACAAACAAAACAAGTTTTCTTACAATTACAATGAACATATTCTATCTCAATTTGGCTAAATTTTTGATTCAAAAAGATTGGTCTATAATCATTGTTTTTTGATAAATATAAACTAATACATTTTGGATTCATACTACTATTAATAGTATTAAGCTCAATAAATGGGTTCCTCAATAATTTACAATTAAAAGGAAGTGATGCATAAAAATTAGAATCAAGATAATTAGAAATAATAAGTGTGCAAAAAGTAACTTTGGGTAAATTAACATAACACTTTTTTTTTAAGCAATAAGAAAAAATATCTATTTTATCTTCATCATCAACTTTGCGAAAATTATGTCCTATAATTAGGAACTTAATTAAATTTTCTAATACAGGAATTCCAAAGAAAGGAATATTTTTTGCCAGCATCAAATCAAGTTTATGTTGTAATGGTATACTATGAAATTCACAAGGATTTTGTGAATTATACACATTTTTTATTAATTCGACACCAATAGTATCTGGTAGTATAAAATTAAAATTTATATCATATCCAATAAACATTATCCTAACTTTCAAGTTATATTTACATTGCTTAAATTTATTTTGGATACCATGAATTATAATACTTGGTTTTGCACTTGGTTCTCTTAAAATTTGACAATTAAAAAAAACATTTTTTGAATTTTCATTAGCTTCATAAACTGATGCGAAGACATCACAATCAGCTTCTTCATCGTAAATGATTTCTGAAATATCTTGTGAAATATTCTTTAATTCAAAAACATTATGCCTTCCATATTCATTTAAATGATAAACACAATCCTCAGTACTAGTATGAAGGATCCTCTTTCCAATAGATTTAAAGGTTTGATTACGTAAATCATTAGATAAGAGCTGAAAAGTACTAATGGGATTTCTAAACTCAATACATTCCCAATATTGATAATCTTTTAAAGATTTTATCCAATATTCACTATCAAAATTTTCACTTTCAGGATGACTTCCTCCAAGTAATTTTATATTATTGGAATTATAAAATTTCAAAGTTGTTTCTGAATTATTAAAATTAAACCCAACTTTTGCATTTGAAGATCCGAAACCTATATTTCCAGTAGCGTTATTAGAGATATCTGTTGAACTGATAGATGACTTTTTAACATCATTAATATAAACTCTTCCTCCTAAAATAATTTCAGTTGGAATGAGTTGACCATAATCTTCGGCAATTTTCCTAAATCTTTCTCCAGGATTTTTAGATTTTATAGCATCAATCACATCATTTTCAAATTCTTCAGTTAATTTTAAATCCGCTTTGTTGAATTTCAATGATACTTTACCAATTTCTGTATATTGATAAGTTGACATAACTTCTTTATTAAAACTTTTATCTCGTAAACTTCCAATCGATAATCCTAATTTTACAAAATTCGTTACGTTAATCCCGTCGACATCAAAAAATAAATTTGTTTTTTTCATCCAATCTTCTTTTGATTCAAATTCCAGATGACCTTTTTTATAGCTATTAATTTCTTTTAACTCACATTTACTTATTTTATATGCTTGTTTCTTAGCTATTTTTATTCCATCAAAACTCATAATTCGCCCATAATCTAGTTTGTGTTGCCTGTTTAAGAATTCCCAATAAATTCGTTTCAAGTATAAAGTATCTAGACCATTTTCAACTGTTATAATTTCATTTAATGGAAACTTTTCTTCATCTTCACGTTTCAGCTCACCAAATTCGTCATCATTTTTTTTTTTTGAAAATAAAAGCATATCATCAATGTCATTTCTACTTTCGAGTTCCTTACGAATTTCGGATAAACGATCATCCGGGTTTAATTTTTTTATAATGCAACCTGAGCTATCAATAATTTTAATAAACACGTTGATTTCTTTAAATTTTTCCGAAGACATTTTTTTTTTTTTTTTAAAAGTCTTTTGTGTTCCTATTGTTTTTTTATATTTGGTATACATGACAATCATGACATATTTGTTTAACATGATTACATAAATATGATCAGATGAGATCTGTTGATCCTTCTTGATTTAGTAAAAAATGAGGAGTCGATTGAACCACCTAACCTTATATATAAAAGTATTATTTATTTAATGTAGGATATAAATAAAATAAATAAATATGATATATAAACAAATGACGTTAAAAAATTTCGTTAATTGATATTATTCATAATGAAATTTTTGAAAGAGTTGATTGATGAAGAGAGGAATGAAGAAAATATCGATTATTTTGATTTTAGTCAATTTAGCAATTTAGAAAAAATTGATAAAAGAATTCATGGAACTTTAACAAAAGCTTATTGGGAAAATCGAAAAATTACCGCTGTATTAAAAAATTTGAATAATTCAAAAATTACCGAAAGTGACTTTAAAGAATTTATTACGAAGGTATGGATAATATTATTCTTATTTTTTATGGTGCAATTATTAAATATTTGAAAAATCATTTTATAATACAGTTAAAAGATTCTTGTAAAATCAATCATTCAAACATCAATCATTTTTTCGGGTTAACGAGAGGTCTGTCAAGAATTATGATGTAACATTTTTTTTTTGCATTTTATATTATCCTAATCATCTTTTACTAATTTATTTTAAAATAATAGACTCAAATGGCAACTATTTTTCAGTATTAGAATATGCTAACGAAGGAAATTTAAGGGATTATTTAAAGATCAAATTTAGTACACTACAATGGGATGACAAATTACAAATTGCGCTCGATATCACTCGTGGATTAATGTACCTACATTCCAACAAAACAATTCATGGAAATTTGGTAAATATTTCTTAAATTTTAATTCTTGGCTTATCTAACGCCTTAACTAATATTGATTATTATTTAATCGTTAAGCATGCGTATAACGTCTTATTTAATAGTGGTAAAGTAATGTTGACGGACTTTAGATTATTCAAACAAGTGGCGGAAGCCACATCTGAAAATATAGTTTATATCGAACCACAATACCTTCGCAATCTAAGCTATGAGCTAGATATGAAATCTGATATTTATAGCTTAGGTACTCTTTTATGGGAATTATCGAGCGGACATTCTCCCTTTTCTGATTGTATACAAAAAGCATTTGGTTTAACTCAAGTAGAGAATAAACTTCTAAATGGAGAGAGAGAAAACTCAGTTGCAAATACACCTTCAGAATACCTACAACTTTATCAAAAGTGTTGGCAAGATGATCCATACTTGAGGCCTGAAATTAATCAAGCTTACGAAATTTTATCTCAATTAAAATTGCAATCCGGTATTGGTAACAATAACGATCGGGTAACGGACGGTAAAAGTTTATCTTCAACGGATAATGATAGGTACATAAATAAAGAAATATCTGATCGATCGTCATCTCCGCATACTGCGAAAATTACTCTGAAAATATTTAAAAGCTCATCGCAAGAAATTATTAGACAATTTAAGTTAAACCATGGGATAGTTTTAAACGGATATGATATAATGCCAAGCTTGCTAGGGGTTACTGTTGAAGACGGAGAATTAAAAATGAATATATATGAGGGACAACCTTTAGTATACACGTCTATTAATTCTGAAGATAATGAATTAAAAATAGACACATGCATTAATTTTCCAGTTGTCAAAATCGTTTATAATGGAAATTTGTTAGAATCTTTTCTAAAATATATAAATGATGAAAAGAAATTACGTGAATTGTATGGTGACTGCTTTGCAAGAAGAGTTTTAGTCGGTGGTCAATTATTTATCATGGATTTTAATTCAGCAACTCCAACACAAGTTGATATTTTAAAGTTTTATTTGTTCTGTATATATAATTCAGTTAAATATTCTATAGACGTCAAATTCAGCAACTTATTCACTTTGGATCTTTTACCAAAATTAATAACGTTGGACGGGGAAAAGATAAATACTCATGAAAAATTAACCAATTGGATGAATAATTTGTATAAAAAGAAAATGGTTAACATAATTTCTTATGATGATCTCATTCCCGTTTCTCAATTAAAACACAATATATTGTTTGTAGATAGTGATCTTGAAACTTTTAAAGAAAAGCAACCTGGAGTTTCTAATTTTAAAGAGAAGTTAAATTTAGACGAATGGGTTGGAAACGCGGTAAATAATAATTTAATGACTTGGACTAAAGATTTCAATCTTTTACGGGGATTAATAATTAATAAGTATGACGAAATTGAAATTAGCAAGGAAATTCCTGTTGTCGTCACCAGTATTCCTAATGTCAATTCGAATAATGAATCTTATTTGAAAATTATCAAGCCATCGACAAAGTTAGAGTTTACTTTAACCTCCAATAATATTTTCTCAATTAAGAATTTAAGCACTTTTCCATTTATTAAAAATAGTGATAAAAGTTATGAGGGTTATAATTATATTCAAGTCAAATGTGAAAAATATGAAATTCTCTTAAATATTGATAATGTAAAACCTACAAAAGAATTTGAGCAAGTTATAGAGGAAGCACTTAACAGTATGAAGCCATTAAAAGCTTTACAAGACGTATTCAACGAATATGGTCATTTATTTCCACAAAGAATTATATTAGGAAGATCCCTTAAGGATGTTTTACAGAATCTCTCTACATTTGGTGACGTTAAAAATAATGATGAAATACTTGAATCGTTAGATAATTTAAATATTCCATATCTTTTAACACAGAAGGGAAGAATTATTGGAAAAAATGATTTACATAAGTGGATCCAAAATATGAATAATCAGTTGGAAATTATTGAATTCGATAATGTCATTCCTCTTTATAAAATTCTTGGAGTAGAACAAAAAGAAAAAATTGATGATATATTAAATGATAATTACAGAATTATAATGACAGGAATTACTGATTTAACCGACTTAAGTAATGATAGTGTTGAGAACTACAAACGTATAAATTTTGGGTTATCATTGGAAAGTGAAGATTATGAAATATTTGGGTTAATCATTTCAGAAAATAGTGTAAAATTAGAAGAAATTTATGTTAATTTTGGATTATATGATTTTAATGGATTTTATGCGATAATAAAAAAATTAGAAGATACAAGTGTTGATATAACAAAATGTTATGTTTCATGGATTGTTATTGGAAATCCCTCCCAAGTATCTGTCTTTAGTCCAAATAATCGAGAATTACAAGTTGATTGTATTAAAAAATCTATTAAATTGCAACCTGATAAGTTTAACTATGGCAGTAATGATACTATTTATACTTCCTTTACTTTACACGAAGGATATACTTTTTTTGCACATGCAAATCTTTCGTCAATAAGTTATGAGCCTAATAATATTGTTAGATTAGTTGAATGGAAAGAAAAATCTATTAACGTTCAAATTGAATTAGCCTATAAAATTCAATCAAATGTAAGTTCACCTAATGGTGATTTCGATCATGAAGATGATGATTGTTTAGCAAATGAAGTAGATTTGCGCATATGTATTCTATCTACAAATTACAAAAGTTTAAAAGTTGACCATGCCAAAGAAAGGTTATGTCCTTTAGAACTAATAGGACATATTTTAAATGAGGAAAATTTTAATGAAAGTTTATTTAATGAAAGTAACAAAAATGAAGTTTCTGTTAATATCCAAAATAATGATTCTATTCCAAGCAAATCACTTATTATTCAACCTGAACCGGATGATAAAGGTATTTCGAGTAATTTTTTTTTCATGTTATCTTATAATTTGATTAATAGTTGAATTACCTATTTTTATTATATTCTATATAACTTTAGTGGTTGATAAAACTATAGATGGTGAGTTATATTTTACATAAATATTCAAGTAACTAAATTTTCTTACTTTTTAATTTTTAAATAACTATTTAATATTTTAATCTTTTTTTTTTTTTGTTATATTTAATATAGATATAGATATTGAAGAGAATGAGAAAGAGGAAAGCAATGAAAATAATGTTGATATTCAGAGTATAAATCCTCCCGAGTCCCATTCAGAAGAAGAACTCAAGAAAGATAATAATATAGATGTTGAGGAAAACGAGAAAGAGGAAAATGATGAAAACCATGTTGTTGTTGAGAATATAAATTCATCCGAGTATCATTCAGAAGAGGAAGAACCTAAGAAAGATAATAATATAGATGTTGAGGAGAATGAGAATGAAAAAAATGATGAAAATAATGTTGTTGAGAATATAAATTCATCCGAGTCTCATTCAGAAGAACAACAACTTAAGAAAGACGAAATTAATATGAATGTTGAAGAGAATGAGAAAGAGGAATGTAGAAAATGTGATGATGGGGACAGTGTACATAGTGTTAGTGAGAAAGTAATCCTTCCTGAAATAATTTTAACTCATTCAGAAGATTCAGTAGTGAAGGAAAGCAATAATCCGAACATAGAAAATATTGTTACAGTAAATCAAGTAAATCAAATAAATCAATATATTGTCCAAAATGTCCAAAATGTAAATAATGTGCAACAGCCGCAACAACCAGATGATTATGAAGGTTCAGTATTTTTAAAAACCGTTAGGAAAATGGTTAAGGAAGTTGAAAATATTGTAGATAAAGCCGCCAAAGCTCACAGGGAGGCTGTTTTAAGATCGAGTAATGAATTGCAGGAAGAATTGCAGGAAGACAGGGAGGCTGTTTTAAGATCGAGTAATGAATTGCAGGAAGAATTGCAGAAAGACAGGGAGGCTGTTTTAAGATCGAGTAATGAATTGCAGGAAGAATTGCATGAAGTAACTAAAGAAATAGTTGACAAGAAGAGATGATTATTGAATAAGAAAAAGTGATTGAAATGTTGAAAATGTTTTTTTCTTAGATTTTGATATAATTCGATTTTAATTGAAAAGGAAGAAGTAGTACTATAAATCTGAGAAAAAAGATGTTTTTATTCTAAATAAATCATAAGATATTAATAACCATCAAAAAAATCAATATAACTATTTAAATTTTTATGTAATTTATTTTATAAATAAATAAAATAAATAATTTATAAGGATTTTATTTTATAATGTCTCTAAAATCTCACCTATTAAAAAATGAAAAAATTAAATCTAATATATCTAATAAAAATTTATTGAAATCACATATTGATTGCTCCTAACCATCAAAATTTCCGTAATCTCATAACTCATACTATTCAAATTTATAATTTAAATACTGAAAGTTACTTGATATTTGATTTTATTAGCTTCAGCTTTTTCTAAATTTTAAATAATAAAAATTTACTCCTACAAGTTTTAACTTATTGTAAATTTTGGTAATTCTGATTTTCATCAAGTTGCTTTTAAGTTGCTTACCCTCTCCTTATCTCTTTAATTAGCTCCTTAGAATAATTCCTTTAAGCCTATTCTGTTTTCACTGTTCTTATGAATGTAAAATTTTGTGTGTGTGTTATATTTCACATCTATCACATTACGGACTTTTCACCGCCTCCGGACAATGATATTAACACCACGCATGAACGCACTTCTAAATGACACATGACTCATTGACGCCATCTACACATCATAACAATAATCGCACCTAATATATTTTATTTAGGAAATAACACTATGTTTTTATCAAGTAAGATTCTGCGCTTGACAATATTTACACGTAGCACTTTTATGTGAAAGACCAATATGGTCTGAACGATTGTATCCATCGAAATACGAAACTATAAATATATATGTTAATTCTTCAGGCTTTAAGGATAATTATGTGCTATCTTTCAACCGTTCATTGAAAAATACAGAGCGAAAATATTGACCTAATGCACAAAAATTTAATGAGCGTAAATTTCTCTAACATTTGATTAGCCTTAACTTTTCAGACATAAATAACAGCATCATGTACTATTACTGTTTCAAAAAAATTTTCGCAATTGTTAAATAACTCTTTCCAAAATTTTGGAGAGATTTTTATTATAAAAAATTTCAAGTTAAGGATCAGTAAATTTTTATAATTAGTAATACAATAAGTAACAAATGACTACTACAAATTTACATATGTATTTTTTATATTATGGTAATATGCGAATGAATAATTTTTGAGTAACTTTTATTTTTGCAGTTTTAAGACATTAGCAAAAAGTTGGCACAAAAATTTTTATTAAGGGAATAGTTTATACTCTATAATCTAAATATTATAAATAATTAACATATTCATTATAAATATATTTTGATGGTTTGACTATGTAAATAATTACGGGAGTCGTTGTAGTAAGTCAAGCGGAAAAGATAAAACTAAAATTTGTCGAATGACGTCACGTAAGAGTCACGTGATCGATCATTTGTCTATATTCCTTCGCTTCGTTTTGTTTCTAACAGTTTAATTTTTAATTACTTGAAATACTTCGTAATCATCTATTTCAAAATTTGTTGGAATTCCTATCTTAGGATATCGATTTCCATTATCATAATTATCATAATGCCAATTATTATCACGACAGAGTAAATTACCCATAGCTGGTCCATAATAAATATGACAATATATGGCACAATTTTGCTTATCAACATAACTTACTTTAGCGGTAGAAATATTTTTTTCATTTGTAAAATTAAACAAAAAACTATCAGTTGTAGTTTTATAACCATTTCCATTCCAATCCAGTGGATTATATCCTCCAATTAATTGTGTTGAATTTTTAATTTTTGCTATCCAAATAGTAGCACCTTTATTATCACAATTTTTATGAAAAGAACTAGTACTAATTCCATCTTGACTTGAACGATATAATAATTTAAAATCAAAAGGAATATTTTTTCTATTATAATATGAAGCATCTTTTTTATCAATCCATGAAGCAAAAAGTGGAATATGTTTTGATTCTATAAAGGTTGAATCAGGTTGATAATTTAAATTAGTTTTTCTTGGAGGTGATAGATCGGTTTTAGGTTTCACGTTAGGAACTATATGAAATTCCAAAAGGTTATTGATTATATCTTGTGGTAAAATATCTTTATAACAATAAACCTTATAAAAGAAATCTGCAGGTTCAATATCATAAAATCGAATTAAAGGAATAAATCTCAATATTCCTCTCTCAATTTTCGTAATATCTCTTTTACTCCATTTTGTTGGATCATTCTTTATATTTTGTTGAGCAAAACACCATTTCAATACATATTCCCAAATTTCAATTTCATCTATAATTAAGTCGTTCCTTTTTAACAAAATTTCTAATAAAGAAGCTTTTAAATTAATAAATTTATCAGAACCAAATAAAGTCTTTGGTTCTTCACAAATTTTCTCAAGATAAAAATTGCATAAATCCGTAAATGATTCATACTGATGAATAGCTTCAATAATTTCAATCTTACATTGAAGTAAAAATTCTGGTTGATGTTCGATCAAAAATTCTTGAATATGGGAAATCAATGAATTGATATTAAGTTCATCCACTGCTATCAATAACTCCAACATATCAGGAATTTGTAACTTCTCCAATTCAATAATTCCATAATAAATAAACCTAATAAAATCAATAAATAATCTTTATTTCCTTTTTTTTTTAAAAAAAAAAAGTTCAATTAATTACATACCTAAGAATGATATTAAATAATTGCGGTGTAATATTTGGTTTTTTGAAAATAAATTTTCCATCTTTTTTTTCAGCCCATTCATTAGAAAATGCAGAATGGAAGTATTGAGACCTAATACATAAAATATTTGAATGAACATGAAATTCTTTGATATTTGGTTCTTCTCCAGCATAAATAATAACATCATGTCCTATTTCCGTTTCGAAAAGTTTTTTATAATCATTAGATAATTCTTCCAAAAATTTTGTAGCCATTTTTTTTTTTTTTTTTTTTTTTGTAAATGAGGCTAGAAAGTTCGTAACAGAAATAATATTTATAATATATCGTTACTGGCGCTAAATAGATGCTTTCGCATAATCATAGGCGAATATCAATGCAGGGGTATTACACAATTCATATAGGATTGACGGTGACACAAATATTTATTTAGACAATGAATTTAATCACTGCAGGGGTAATGCGATACTTAAACCTAACCTATATGGTATGGTTTTTTATGTATCATTTTTGGTAACGATAATGTTTATCTGAGTATCCGTTGTATGTATAGTTACAGCTATATGGTATACTAACTATACTTGCTAATCTTAGCACCATACTATACATACAACGGAGGTCATACTCATTCTATTCTCATTGACGTGAGAAGTTGGATATAATCTTGGATAGTTTCTTTGTAAAATATCAGCTGTAGGATAAATAAAGTTGCATTTTTTAATATGAGATCCCAAGTCTTCGAGAAAGACGTTCACTTGTTGGTAAATTCGGATGGTTGTGGTTAAACCATAAATGCGCAAGAAACCAACCGATGAAACCAGTTTAGAATAAATGTTGTATAGGACGGAATGAACTTTTGCTAATGTAGCTGTTAAATATTTTCTCTGAATTGGTGTGAGCCCATATTCTGATGTTACGGTCTATGACATAAAAGTCGTTCCATGCGATGAAGCCTACTGATGTTGTGGAGAAAAATTTAGGATCAATGATGAGTGGATCTTGCAAGAAAGTTCCTTCTTTTGATAAATTGTCGTTTAAAATGTCGCCAGGGTGTGCTTTGATTTTGTGTGAGTTAACACTTAACAAAGAGATCTTTATCTTCGATTAAAACAAATAATTTCCAAATAAGAAAATTATTTTCTTTAGATCCATTCAGACACTTAAAAGCTAGCGTGTTGATATAATCGAAAAAAGTATCAATACAATTAGCGGAATCAGTATGAATGTCTATATGACTATACGGAGGAACAGTGAGGATGCACGTAGTTATACTCATCACTTCCGCCTTTGTTGCATTGATGATAGCGTGAAAATGATGCAACCTTTGAACTCACATTGAGGAGTAGTAGGGTGGGATTGTAACCATCCATAACCCACAGTATATTCGGGTAATCCCAACGCTCTGACAGAGCTATCCGTGTAATGGAAAAGTTGATAGATTGTTGAATATTTAGTTGTTGTTGTTTAATAATAGAACCGCCGCCTATTAGTGCATGTTGAATGTGTTGGTGTCAAATATTGTTGGCTAAGACAGAAATGATAGGAGTGGTGGGACGTTAAATTGTGTGCGGCTAAATAAACTTTTGTTTTAAATAATGAAGTGTTTCAGTTGCATTATAAAAGGGTTTGGTATATCACGGGTGCTATTAAATGTTAAAGTTTTATTTTTTGTACGTACTTTGAACAAAGTGAAGTATGAAGTTTCATTTGTATTACGCATATAGTAAGAATTAAAGTGACAACCTTGACATTTCACCAAGATTAAAAGCTTGTATTCTGGGTGTGGTGTCTTGAGATGGCGTCGATAATAAAAATGGAATATAATGTTCTCCATTTGTAATAGAAGTGGTCGAATATGAATCTTGCGCTATTGCTGTTTTATAAAATACTATTTGTTTGTCTTTATTGTTCCATATGTGAATCAATTCGTTAGGAGGATATCTGATTGAAGAGCTAACCACTATTTTCGATTATTATATTTGGTTAGGTTGGGTAAAGGTGTTGTTAAGCGTCTAAAATTACTTAAGACGTAATCTTGTTCTAACGTCAATAACCATCGTGGAATTTTGCTTTCGAACGAGAAACCGTGAGTTCTGAATTTCTTTCCACGTCAATAAATAACTATCCGGTGAGGTAAGTTGATCCATATAAATAATACGTTTCTTTCTCAAGGATTGGGTGTCTTTGGTAATGAGGTTAGGAAGATAATCCCGGATCCTGCAGCTATAATTATATTGAAATTTGGTGCTAATTGAAAGTTGTAGGTGCTTATAAGGTTAAAACATTTGGTTAATTATGTTGGTTTGGATACGACACTAATAAGATGGTTAACGCCTTTAGGGAAACTTGAGTACCAAAGTTCATATTACAAAAAATAAAATTTTTGAATAATCGGGCGAAGAATAAGCATGTTACAAAGAAGCATTGCATTCAGGATATTCAGTTACGCTTTGACTTGATTATCAAACAAGTTAGTGCTGTCCGACATTAAAAATCACCAATTTTTAATTTTTTTTACAGTATCTGGTATTGTTTTTTTATTATAAATTAATGTATAATAATGGATAATGGATTATCTAACAGATTAATACAGATTTATCTGTGATGGTGTTATCTGGGTATAGATTGGATTTAAAGTGAATTATCCAGATAGTCAGATTTCAGATCACATCTCTATTTTCTGTATATAAAGAAATAAAATTTTATCTCTGAAATTATTAGTTGTTATAGTTATTGTTTCCAATAATGTGACCATTGTGACCATTAAAGGTTCAATTAAAAGACATAAATCTTTAAGTGAGTAATGTTAATTATGTCAATATACTCACTATAATACTATAAAGTAATAAATAATTATACATATCGTATGACTTAAACAAAATCTTTGTTGTGCAATCACCTTTATTTGCCATTACAATAAATTTTTTTTTTTTTTATAACGTTTAACTTTATTAATAACATGATGATCGCTGAAACAGCGCACCATGTTCTAGACGACGTGCATCTGCTAATAAAGTATCTATCTACTAAAAACACAAACAAAACAAAAACATACAACAAGAAACACTAAACTAAACTCAATAAAACAAAAGAACATGTAAAATTTAACACTAGCTATTTTTACGCCTGGTTTGACAAATTTTTAACCAAGAGTTTGCGCCAATGTTAAACTTCATCGAACTCCCCACACATAGATACTTTATTAATAACAACCCTCCTTCCTTACGCATTTCACACTTCTCAAAGGAAAAACAAAATGACAAAAACTACTCTGATTCAAAACCAAACTAAAACGTCTTCCTAACACCCTATCTAATCTGACCTACTCTTTCAAAACATACAAGCAGTCACCGCAGAGTTGGCTAGGCCCCACAATGAAACATCCATCTTCCCGAAAAGAGCGTTTTCCCCCGTAGAGTTGGCTAGGCCCCGCAGTGGAGCGTCCTTCTTCCCGAAAAGCGCGTTCTCCATAGTTACCTTTTACCTTTCCCATTCTCCATAGTTCCCTTTTCCATTCACATGACTTGCCTAACGTTAGCTTTTTGTATTTCTTTGAACAAAACAAGTGTTTGTCTACATTTATTTACATTGCTACCATCAAAGTCAAAACTAGAATAGTCATCTCTTCTCTCACGTGATTACTGCGGATATGGCTGATCTCTTCCTAGGCTAAATTTGTTGCCGCAATTTGTCCCCCAGTAAATCACCTCATTTCCTTGCAATCCAATTGGTTCCTCACTGAATCTTCCGTTACTACTTTATATCCATCCACGTGCTAAAATTTTTGCTGCGCCGACGAAAAATTTTGCGAAGAAAAATTCCCAAGAAACCAATATTTCCAAGAGCTATCCAAAAACTTCTTCAATATCCAAAGGCCTACTTCTTTTTATTTTTCCAAGCCTCTATTATCGCCCACTGACAAAAATTTATTTGGAGCAACACCCAGCCCTCCTTGGCATTTTTGGGTCACTACCATTAAGTTGACAGTGAGAAATAAATTTTTGGTTGAAAAAATTTGAGACCTTCTAGCAAACTTCGTCTAAACTCCATATCAAAATGCTCGGAAAAGACTGAATAAACAGTTGGTGATGTTGAAATGCGTAAATTAATAAATTTCCATAAGCACTTTTGAATCTCTTCCGCCATTTTTTCGTCCTGAAATTTTTGGTCCGAATGATCGGCGGGAAGAGTTCCTCATTTTCTCCCATTACAATAAAATGATTTTCCTCCAAAACTTTTTTTTTCTCTTTTTATATTAAAAATATTTTTTAAAAAAATTTATTATATAATAAAAAAGTTAAATATTTGTAAAAGAACTTAAGTATGAAATATTGCTGTAAAAACTATTCTTATTTACAATAAACACGTATTTTATAAATTTATAACTGAAAATACATAAAAAAAATTTCTTTTAAACGATATTAATAAAAATTAACATATAAGATAAACTTATGGAATGACCCACAAGTCACCGAAAAATGGTAGCCAGATTTATTTGCCGGTTACACATGCTGGTTACATGTGATTTCTGTAAAATATTTCACATACCAGAATATTGAAAAATTTTTATTCGTAAGAAAATAAAGTTCAATGACTTTTTAAAGTTCGACAAATCGTTTAACCGATTTGTAACCGACAAATAAAATTCGGATGACTAAACTTATGGCACAAAAGCCCTGTTCATTTCCGGTCGGTTGCATTTTTCGGTCAGATTTTGTTGTACAAAAATTATCAAATAAAATTTTTTTATTTTCAATCGCAAATTGAACAGAAATTATCTAATTTTGGTTGGTTATTTTTTGGCGTTCGACCAAAAAACCCCAAAAAAATTGGTTAGAAAATGGTTGCGTTGTACAAACTGATCAGCCCAATCAAAATTAAATCTGACCGAAAAATGCGATCGACCGGAAATGAACAAGGCTAAAGTTATTGTATAAATATCACGTGATACAATACAATGGTAACTTACAACTTAGCCAATCTACGTTACACATTTGCGCTTACAAGTGATAATTATATTAGTAAATCACCGAAAAGGACTCAGAAATATATATAAAGAAAGGGTAAGGTAAAATTCATTATTACACTATTACATTATTGACTGTTACGATTTTTTCAGGGCCAGAATTATGATAACGTCAGCCAGTAGCTAAAAAAGGTAATAATATTTCAGTGGGAACTAGCAGTCACCTGTTGCTTTGCACCGGGACCAATGAGTTTTTTTAAATAGAAAAATTTGATATTAGAATAATATAAATTATATTTACAATAATGTCAGTAGCTTATATTAATGATTGACGTTTGAGTGTAGAATGAAATTCGGATTAATTAAGGAAGATTATAACTAATTTTCACCCTGGCGATTTAACAATTTTTCACCTAGGGTGATTTAACCTATATAATTACCCGGTGATATCACCTCATTATTAAATTTGTACATGCGAACCCTATTAAATTTTATTGGCTAATTAACGTGCTGATTATTTCTTATGTTTATTATTTTTTTTTTAAACGTACTCTGATAATTTTTTTTCTTTCACTCCTTTCACTCCTTTGCATGACACTCAGGATACTTTTTTTTTTCATTTTTCTTCTTGCATTTTGTTTCCTACTAACTTTATTTTGTCTTTTAGGTCCTTTGGCTCTTTTGATTTTGCAATTAAGATATTGTTACGATGAAAAACAATGTGACGAAGTCACGTGATATAACCGTTGATCAATGGTAATTTCCGGGACGATTAATTATTGTTGGATGATCAAACGTCATATAACGGGAGGATCTATGTTGATATATTAAATATATTAAATATATTGCACATATTATACATATGGTATATCTGGCACATATCAAACATTTTAGTTTAGTGTTTTTACTTATAAATAGACGCGATGTTTTTCGATGTAATTAGATAGGTATCCAGTCAATAAGATATTTACCGATATTAAATAAAAAATCCTTTTTATTATTATTTATATCTTTGGTTATCTCATTGTTAATTATTATCATATACACCTAACCCATTGATTTTTATTGTCATTTATTGTCATAATCCTTTATTTGTGTCTGATCGTATTTGCCATTTGGAAGTGCAATACTTTATTCACATCTGATCGGATTTGAAGTAAATTTGGTCAATTGATATTATTTTGTTTATTAACCTTGCATTAACTATCGTCATATTACTTATACATATACACCTTCTGCCTACCCTAAATAATTTTTTTGTTTATTCTCATAAACACTAAAGAACTGATACTAACAATATGACCACCACTATATGGCCGTTTCGTTATTTTTTATTCCATTCTTAATATTTCGTTCCTTTCGTTTTTTTCACTCCCCCTTTGTTCCATTTCGTTTCTCCCTCACTTTTCCTTCGTTTCTTTTATTCCCTTTTACTCTCCCTGTTTTTTTTCATTCACCCTCATTCTTTTTAATTAATTTTTCAGAAGTATTTTCGAAAAAACTTTAATAATAAATGAAATGAACAGATTCTAACACATTTAATTATTCAAATATTTTTCCCAAGTTGGTTATAAGTTTAAGATTGACGTAATATAAAATAAGAAATAATTATAAAATTTATAATTAATTAATAAAAAAATATTTGTAGTATTTTTTTTTCATAATATTATTCTTTTGATACTCATTTTACTCAATAAATTATTAATTTAACTAAAAAACCATTTGAATTAAAACCTTTATTTAAAAATCTGGTGATTTATATTTAGAAAATTTCGGATATGGATTGGTTATTAATAATCTATTATTAAAATCAATAAATTTCTTCAATTAATTTATTAAATTATAAAATATTGTAAAAATATCAATATTTTTTTTTTGATTTTAAAATCAAACTATTTATCCAGCGTTCAATTTTATTGAAAAAATCTTAATCCATCTTTCTATATGTTATATTGATTTTTTTTAAAAAAATAATAATTTTGTAAATATATTTAATATAAATATTTTATTTCTTTATTTAATAATAATAAAAAAATTGAAAGAAAAGATAAAAAAAAATTAAAAAAAAAAATTTGGGAAAAGAAAAAGGATAAAGAAAGAAAT